TTTCAAAACACACTTCAAAACTGTCCAACTTTCTAATATTTCTGCCAACAAAACCTTTTTTTAAAAAATGCAATAAAAGAAAAAGGATTTTTAAATTTTATTTGTTAATTTTAGAGAGAGAGGGAGAGAAACACATCAACTTGTTGTTCCACTTATTTATGCATTCATTGGTTGATTCTTGCATGTGCCCTGACACAGGGATCAAACCTGCAACCTTGGTGTATTGGGCCAATGCTCTAACCAACTGAGCTACCCAACCAGGGCCAGAAACAGGTATTTTTTAAAACATGAATCTATCAAACAGAGCACAGTGCTCACTGACTATTCACAAATATAGAAGATAATACAAAATAATAAATAAACATCATGTCTTGTCACAAAATGTCCCCATTTTTCTAAAAAAATATGAAAAGCTTTCTCTATCCTGACTCAACACTTCCCTGAACTCAAAAGCAATACAAAGCCAAAATAGTAAAGCACTGGCTAGGTTTCAAGCAGTTTTGCCCTGGGTGTGGGCTGCAGGCAAACTAAGAAGAAAGAAGGTGAGTCTTCAGGAAGCAAGTAATTAAGCAGAGATTTTTTTTCAAACTTAAAATATAACTTACTTATATAGAAAGTATTGCAAATAACTACACAACCCTACTCTCTCCAAACCCAGTGATACAAAATATCACCCCTATGCTGTAAAAAATTACGCTGAATACATTTTAATTACATTTTTGCCAATTCACATTTTAGCCTTTGAAAAGTCTATTTAAGACTCTTCACCACTGCTTTTCTTTGGGATGCGTAATGATAACAAAATAGTTGTGTATAGCAGTCAACAGTAGTATTTCTTGCTCTAACACCAAACTTGAGTAATAAAAAAGAAAATAACTTTCAAGTACCAAAAATGAACAAAAAGGTAAAAGCTGTGTGTGTATATTTATTACTTCAATGTATGGAATTATTTCAGTAATTACAAATGCTGCACACATTAATAGTATCTGAGTAAGGCATCAATTCATTCCCCTAGCTGCATGTTTTAGTAGTACAATACGGTCTCCACACTTCATTTTGGGAAGAAACTTATTTGAAAGCCAACGATCATCCTTTCGACTGACTTAAAGAGAGCAAAGTAAAAAATCTGTCTGTTCCAAATATGAAGATTATGGATTTGGCTCTGATGCAGAATAAAGTAGGCTTCTTATATCACCTGCAATATTAAATTGATTTAGTCTGCTGAAAAACAAGACAGTGAGTTATTGGATCTGTGTTTAATTCAGTGCACTTTATAACATATTTAAGGAATTCAGTTGTATAAAACAGTATCTGAATCTTATCAGATGAAAATATTTTTCCCCTTTAGCAAGCCTCGGGTTGCATGTCTTAGAAAACAAATTAGTCTCTACTTCTCCTACGCTTGATAATAGTGCCCCCTAATGGGAATTTAAATATGAGTTTTTCTACTCATTTTATAAGCCTATATTCTCTAATGTGAGCAAGTTATCTCACTTTCAACTAGAAAGTGAATTCTGTAGTATAAAAATGTATCAAGATTTAAAGCACTCAAAGGAGAGTTATCACATATTCAACAACAAAATGTGAATTCATGACAGAAACAAACAAGAAAAAAACCCAAGTTTTCTTGGTTTTGATCACCCTATTTAATACAATCCAAGGTAGCACTCTCCAAAATGTTAATCTTATAAGGAAATTATCCTTCAGTTATGTTTCCAGTACTCAATAAGAGCAATTAATTATGTACTAAATAAGTGAAAGATATTACAAAGTCAGAAAAATATCTGGTTCAGAAGTGAAATTATCCAGTGTCATACAGATCCTAGTAAGCAGAGCTGGAATTCCCACCAAGTTTACTGGCCTCACACCATTACCTTTACACAATATCTGATCACAAGTGTGCATCCATGAATTAAATGCCTTTCTTGCCTATTATCTATAGACAGTTCCCCTAAACAGCAGCAATTCAGTATGTGGGGAGTTCTTAAAGGAAAAATATATTTAAGTAGCAAATACTACCTATTCTTATACTTTCCAGATGTTCCAGTGAAACAAACGCCCAGTAAAACCAGCATTTTCATTGCACTGCCCACAATACATTCTGAACTCAGAGTCAATGTTAAGGGAAGCATGGAGAAGAAATAAACAAAAAGTCGTAAACTTCTGATGAAGAGGGAGAACTGCTGCCTTATTCTTCAATCTAATGAGAGGGAAAATAGTAAGAAAAAAATTATATATGAAAAAGGGCTGGTCAAAATTTCTTAAAGGGTCAGACATTTAAAAATTCAGGCTTGGTGCCATATGGTCTCTGTCACAAGTACTCAACTTCGCCACTGTAGCAGGAACGCAGCCACAGAAAATACAGAAATGAATGGGCATGACAATGTTCCAGTAAAACTTTACATGCAAAAGCAGGTCCATGGATTGTAATTTGCCAACCCCTAATATAAAACATCTCACTTTTGGACCACAGATTAAAAATTTTCCACTTTACCTGAGGCACACAAAAAAATTTTAATTTAAAAAAAAACCTAAGCAACTTAAAACATGGAATCACTAAAATTATGAAGTAGTTGGTGAGTATTTTACTTCCATAAGGGAGAAGGCAGAAGAAACGATCCTTCCCTGAAGTCAGGGAGACATGCTGGGCTAGTTGGTGCCTGCAAAGCCTTGAGAAGGTTGTCCTCTCTTTGGGCCTATTTCCTCACCTATAAAATGGAGCCAACACATGTCCTTCCCACACAGGGAGGTAGAAATCAATGAGAAAAGAAACACTGCCCCGGCCATTGTGGCTCAGTTGGTTGAGTATTGTCCTATACACCAAAAAGGTCATGGGTTTGATTCCCAGTCAGGGTACATGCCCAGGTTGCAGGTTCGATCCCCAGTCAGGGCATATATGGAAGGCAACCAATTAATGTTTCTCTCTCACTTCAATGTTTTTCTCTCTCTCCCCACCCCACTTCTCTTTCTGACTACATACTAATAATGCCCATTCAAATAAATCTAAATAAAGAAGGCATATAAATCAGTAATATAAGCAAAAACTCCCTAACTGATCCACTGACAACCAAATTTGATTCTGGTTGTTTTAAATAGACTTTTCTTTGATTACTAGTAAGGCTGAATATTTTTACCCTTTCTCTTACTCATATTTTAAATCGAGAATTTTATTAAACAAACTACCTGAGAAAACTGTGACAATATAAACTGTTCATGAATGAATTCTACTCCCAACTGTGCCACTAATCCAGTAACTGAGTAAGTCACTTCAAGCATACCTCTCTCAGGTTCCTCACTTGAAAACTAATACAATTGCGTTAACAATCCCTTATCCATTCTCTTCTTGTCTTCCAACTCGAAAACAGTTACTACTGGAATATGATTAAACACCACCAGATATGCTGAGGAATAGAGAAACAGAGACATCCTAACACTGCCAGAGTGGACTGCAGAGAAGTCCCAACCTTAATCCTATAGTATCACCATAGTACAGATCAAATAGGGAGACTTTGACCAGTTAAAAAAAGAAAGATTCATACTGCACAAAATACTCAAATGCCCAGAATAAAAATAGCCTTGGTTGGCTGCTAGAGATATTCCTTTAATGAAAAAATGATTTTTGTAGACCAAATTGCATTACCAAGTTACTAACCTTAGCAAGAATACACTGTGTCTACATGTTCAATGTACTATGAGGATAAAATAAGTAACATTTTATCCAAGTTAAAAGTGATCAGTTAAAAGTTATATAAAAAGTGAATGACTAAGTGGAATTTTTTAAAATCTCATTTACAATAGCATCAAAATGAATAAAAATTTAAAGATAAATTTAACCATAAAGGCAAAAACCCTTGTATCCTGAAAACTATAAAACATTGCTGAAAGAAAATAAAGATGACACAAATGGAAAGGCATGCTGTGTTCATGAACTGGGAGATTTAATATTGTTTAAATGTCCATACTACCCAAAGTGAACTACAGATTCAATGAAATCCCTATCAAAATACCAAAAGTTTTTTGTGGCAATAGAAAAAAAAAATCTTAAAATTCATATGGAATCTCAAATTACCCTACATGGCCAAAATAATCTTGAAGGGGAAAAAAGATGGAAGTCTCACACTTCTTGATTTCAAAACATATTACAAAGCAACAGTAACCAAAACAGTATAGTATGAGCATAAGAGTTCTAGAAGAAAACAGAGGAAAGAAGCTTCATAACACTGGCCTTGTAATGATTTCTTAGATATTACACCAAAAGCAAAAATAGACAAGCTGAATTATATCAAACTAAGAAGCTTCTATGCAGCAAAGGAAACAACAGAGTGAAAAAGCAATCTATGAAGTGGGAGAAAATATTTGCAAACCATATATATATCAGAAGACATTAATATTCACAATAAACTCATTCAACTCAACAACAAAAAACCCTACAAAATGAACAAAGAACTTGAACAGACATTTCTCAAAGAAGTCATACAAATAGCCAAGAAACATGAAAATATGCTCAACATACATTACTATCAGGGAAATTATTTTCAACTAGATTTTTTTAAAAAACCTTTTAGATTAGTAGCACTAAAATGAAATGCTTAAAAAGAATCTTCTTTCTGAAGTAGGCAGCTCAACTCATCTCCTCTTCATAAACATTGTCAAAATACCACAGAAGAAAATAGATGTTAGACACATGATGATCCTTGTCCTTCACAACAATGTAAGTTATTTGGCAACCTGATTTCATAATGGGAAGGTTAACATCAGTACAGCTCCTATCCAAATTACTAAAATAAGAATCACATTCCAAATAAGGCCAAACTAATGAAGCTTTTTATATACATCCTCATTTCAGAGAATTTGTATAATTTTTTCAAAAACTCAAAAATCAAGTGAACTAGGCTACCCTAATAGATTAAATGTATTAATAATGCAATGTTAATAGTGTAAACTGTATTAATAACCATTTGTGTGCACTTCAAAGACACGTTTGAGATGAGTATCCTCACCTTCATCAAAGTCAGCATCATCTTCTGTGTGTTGGGGGAAAGGAAAGCAGTTGGTAATTTCAAGCCGATCTTCTACCACCAGGCCCAAAAGCACTCCTTGAACCACCTCAGTCCCTTGTCCTTCTTCTTGATAATGTTTGATTATCTTTAATACCACCTAAAAGAAAATACAAAATCAAGCTTAAACACCATTCTCATAGTTTACATTTCCTTTATTTCAAAGAAAAAATAAATAAATCATACTAGTGGGTTTCAAAAACCACAAAATTATATAACAGGACTAACCAAATTTCTTACAAATCATTTCCTTTACCCTTACACAATAAACTGCACACAGTCTAAATGTACATCTGAAACTCCTCGAGTCTGAAGACATATCAAAACCATCCACATTCAGCACTCACGCCTTTTAGGTCAAGGGTCCCGAAGGTCTTGCTGGCATCCAGGAGTTCTTTGAGTCTAATAAAACAATAGCACCTCAACCTGAGGTTATTATGCAGGAAGCAGTCCTATTAACCTTTGTTTACAGGAAGATAATTTCCTGACAAAGAAGATAGAACCATCAATAAAACAGAAATAAAGACTTCTTTATCTGAATGCCTAAAAGCAGAACTGTTCCTCTTACAAGTTCTCAACATCTCAAGATGGTTCCTGAACAGAGCATCTCACTAGTCAGAGGAAGCAACAATAGAAACACGTATCCCAGAAGGATCTGACTGGCAATAGAGAACCAAGACTCCAGCACTACCTAATTTTCCTCAACCAGGATACACCAAGTAACCTCTAATGGAATAACAAACATTCACCATGGCTTTTAATCAGCAATAATACCTCTAATATCAGTGTCAATATTTACCTGGAAAACCTTATAAGCTGCCACCCAAAATTCTTCTAATAAAAGTAGCAACTATTAAAAAGCTCAGAGTTAAAAGGTCAACTATTTAAGGAATACACCTGAAACTTTTAGGCTTTGAAATATGCCAATTTGAAGTACTTTAACTCCATCTACTCCTGCGTACCTGTAGAAATGTTGAATAAACTGCATTTCTAAAATCTTTAAACTAGCAAACCAAGCTAGAAGAGGAAACTCACAACCCAAGCATTAACCTTGTGAGATAATGCAGCAGTGCACAAGGGAACATCTGGCCTAGATATAATCCCCAAGAGCTAGGAGCTGGGTTGCAAGCCAATCTCTGGGTAGGGGGATGGTGTCTTGAACTTGTCTGAGTACAGAAAGTGAAAACTGAGACCTTTCCAAAAAGTTAAGAGCTCCATGAAAATTACTGGTGGAAAGGGAGAAAACAATCACTTCAGTATCTTATAAACTTACTGCATGACCCAAATTCCTATTCCTAAGAATTTACTCAAGAGGAATAACATATCTACATACAGAGATATTCACAAATGTTCATAGAAGCATTATTCATAATAGCCAAAAATGGAAAGCAATCCAAGAGTCTACACCAAATGTAAATGGATAAACAAACTGCAGCATACCTCTGCCATGGAATACTGCCCAATAATAAAAAAAAACAAAATGCCAGTACAACGGCAGGATTAAATCTCAACATTATACTAAGTGAAAGAAGTCAAACAAAATGCTACCTACTATGATTTCATTTATATGGAATTCTAGAAAAGGCAAAACTGCTAAGTGGTGGCCTGGGACCAAGGTAAGAGGGAGGATACTAACCAAAAGGCACACTCTTTAGGGTAAGGCAACTCTTTTATTTTACATACTGATATGGTAACAATTATACAATTGTTTATAACTACTAAAGTGCATCATGCTGTGTATTTAAAATGAGTGTGTTTTATTGTGTATAAATAATACTTTAACTCTAAAAAACTGCCCATACTTTCAAGTTTGGCTGATGAAGAAATAATTTATATGTGCCCCCAATCCCAATTTCATTCTCAATTTCAGAGCTCAAAGATCCCTCAAAATGCTGTAAGAAAATAAATTAAGTTCCTACACTATATCCCTACATTATATATAATATGTACTTTATATATCTGTATATAAACACAAGTTTATAATAATTCAAGCTTATAATAGGCCTAGGTAATCAACAATAAATTAAATTGTACCATGTTTTAGAAGTCAAAGAAGTATATAGCATTTAGACTTTTTCTATTATTTTTATGTATTTTAGAATTTAATGTGATTAACTACATTAATACAATTTCAGTTACCTAAGAAAATCTGCTATATAAAATTAATTCATTAGAAAATAAGTGTTTAAATGTTTAATCCTCCCCCACCAAAAAAAGATACAGTTAAAAGAAAAAACCGACATTACCCAAAGTTCTACATTAACAAGTACACCCAAAGTGTGTAAGTACTAAAAGCAAACATTCAGACCTGAAGGCCACAGATGAGCTTGAAGAGTTCTAATCACCTCTTAAAATCATATGCAATATTATGTGTCTATGTATTTAAGAGCATCTTACAGGGGCGGGGGGGGTGTCACATTTGTCAGATTCCCAAAGAGGCCCATGATAAGGGGTTAGAAAGAGCTTTAAAAATTAATAGTAATGAAAACCTATTATGTACAAGCAGTTACGCTTTTATGTCTGTATGTACAAGAATGGTGTGGAAGGACATACTTTTTCTTTTATGAACCTTTGTACTATTTAGTTATAGTAAGCATGTATTTAATTCAAAAACATCAGATAAAGAAAATTAAAGGGAAAGATTTTTAAATACAGTAATCACTGCAACTTACTGCATGGAATTCCACAAAGAACAGCAAATTAATATAATTTCCTTTTTTGACATTCCTACTGAGTGTCTTGACAGAATGATGTGGATGTTATCTTGATTTTAACATGTTCTTTTGGGTATGTTTAAAAAATATGAGCTGAATAATTGGCTTTGAAAGGAGGAGAAAAAGAAAATCTACACACTTGTAAGCCTGAGCATCTGCTGGTAAATTCTAATCTCTTGTTGATGTGGTTACTCTTCAACTATTCACATTTGCTACTGCACACACATATACAAATTACCATAAAATATGCATATGTACACACTATCAGGAGAAAAGGGATAACTTCTGGATATACAGACTGGTTTTCAACAAGCAGAGAGATCTGTTTAAGAGAAACCTAATCCTAAACCAATTGTAAATCAGCGACCTATCAATTAGAACTTTGTGTAAACTGATGATGGTACTAAATCTTCACCTGGAGAAGCAGGTTTCCACCGTCCTTGCAATACACATAAAAAGGATCTGTTGAAAGCCAGTTAAAATGATTAGGGGCAAAGTAGTTTTATATTGTAGAACTATACCATCTATCATTTTTTACCTTTTTTAATGCTGAGTTCACTTGAGCATGCTCAGAGACTGCAACCTGTGTTGTGCACCTGGAGTAAGCAAATGCTGAATCTACTTGTTCATCTTTTTAAGCAGCTCACAGATGAAGAAATGCTGAAACTACTAAAAATTTTACCACAAAAACTAATAAAAAGGCGAATTGTGTATTTTGTGATCGCAAGTCTTTTAGATATGGTCCTATTAAATAGGTATGAAAATTTTAACAGTGCTTCTCAAACTATCAGTGAAGAATTCATCTTCCTCCAGCTCGTCACAGGCCAAGTTGAGTAAAAGAACAAAAATTACTTACTAGAAAAGTGAAAAATTTTTAAAAGACAGAAAATTCAAGCCCAGAGACCACAGGCTTTGGTTATTGCAGGAATATCAAACTGCTATAAAAGTTTCTAAATACTTCACCTCAATCCTATGCTTCTCATGCAGACCAGTAAACAGTTCACGAACCACCCCCCACACTGGTTCATAGAACCTGTACCATTAAACAGGTAGGCAGTTTTCTCCCAACTCCAGAAGTTGATCATTCAGATTTTAAAATCAAACACTTCTTAATTTATGTCACTGATAGAAAGTCTCTCATAATACAACATTATCTCAATAGATATAAGAACCAAACTGTGTGGCAATCAAGCCCAGGCATACTCTTACGCTGGGGTCAGACCATTATTTGGATTTCATTCTGAACAATGTAACTTTTAGAGGGATAAAAAACAAACTTACTTCAGCAGCAGGACCCCACTTAAATCAGAAGCTCTCCAAGACAAAGGTAAAATAGTGAGTTATTGATCCAATGAGTGAGCCCAGCTGAAGCCCCAACATTCAAACCTTGATTTGATTTGCTATTTTCCATCTTTATTTCTTTGTGAAAAATGTTCAAGAGAGGAAACTTTAGTAAAAGCTTGAAAATTAATTCTAATGAGTACATACACAAATGTGAAACTCTGGTGTGTATATACAGAAAAATACTATTCCAGCGTAGTTGTTGAGAGGTTGGCTGGTCACTAGAATGCAAAAGGACAGTATGAGTGCCAGCTCTATGGCCTTAGGCCATATCTTTACCTTATCTATCCCAGCCTCACCTATCTCCTGTAGAGATAAGTCAATCAGTACCTATCTGTAGCATTATTGTAAGGATTAAAAAGTAATACATCCAAAGTACTGAGCACACAGTGCATATTAAATCCTCAGTAAATACTTATAACTACTATTACAATAAATATTTCACCTAATCTCCTTCACTCATCCAGACATCTGTCCAACAAATATTTAGTGAGCAACCAGAATATGCAAGGTACCCTTATGGTACTAAGACTTTGTCTCCCTATAATGTTTATAGTCTATTCCTCAAAGGATGTAACTTATTAAATGCTTATTTAAAATCAACCACCTGACACCAAACTTACATTTTTGTTAAAATTTATCAGTCAGAGCGAACTAGAGCTCTCTTGTAACAACCAATAACACAGGCTTTCAGGACAAGAGTTTTAAAATCTGTATTCAAAAGTCAAAAGTGAGATTAAGCTGATTTACTCAAAATATTTATATATACGTTTGTATGTATGCGTATGTGTATATATATGTGTGTATAGATATGTTCATATACATACGTATATAAATGTTTCCTTAAAAACATTATCCTTGCTAAAAATAAAGACTAGATCCACTCCCAGAGTCTAAAAGTCTAAAATACAACTAAGCCCAAACTGCATCAGATGATGGCCAGTTAGAGAAGAGGTCAGGCAGGATGCATGATTCCTAGCAAGCTTTACTCCAGTTTGATAGATTCTGGGAGGTTAAAGTCCACAGCCTGAATTTCTCACATCAA